CTGTGCCCCAAGTTCACTCCCCTTCCATCCCAGAATGCCACGGCTTCATTCCCACCAGCACACAGAAATCGTCACCTTTCCTGGCCACTGCCCCTTTGCAGCACTCACATGCCTGGTCCCCATCCTCCTTACTTCAAGGACAGCACTTCTCTTGGTTTGCTGCTTCACGTGTTCATTTTCCTTCTCTGTTCTTTGCTTGCTCTTCCTTGCTGTACTGCTTCATATGAGTCCTCAGGCTTCTGCCTTGGGCCTCTTTACTTCTTGTTCTATGTGCCCTTCCCGGTACTCGGTGACTTTTGTGGGTGCAGCCCCCAACTGATAGGCCCTGCCCCAGTCCCATTTGCACCTGAGTGTCCTGCAGTGCCTCAGACCTGGCATGCCTCCACCCTTGCCTTTCCTGGCCTGTTAACCCAGCAACCTTTTATTGAGTTTTCTTTTACACTTTTCTACCCATCTGGTCCCCAGTTTCTGATGATGATTCTTCCTCAGAGCTGTCTCTCAAGCGGATCTCATTTACCTGTCTGCTGCCACCTCTGCTCAGGCCTCTGCTCCTTCATGCCAGGATTGTTGTGTCAGTCTTCACCAACCTTCCCTCATTTTAGTCTGTTGGGGTCTTCATCCTAACAGGCAAATCTGATACTATTACTCTCCTGTTCTAAAAAATTTCCATTGACTGCCCGGTGTCCTTGGGATAAGCATTCATCACGGCAGGCTCTTTGGTGCGGCATTCTTCGTGGTGCTCTCAGCTGCCTTGGTCTCGTTTCCCACTGCCCGCTCCGGAGCCTCTGCACACGTGCACACCACGCTGAATGTCTCCTTCCTGGATCAAGCCAGCCTTTCCTGGGATAAGGTTGCCACAAGGCCTAATATGCATACTTTTCGCTCAATGCTTTGTTTGTACTTATACTTCCAGTATTTTATAGCATTATAATCACCCGAAGTCTAAATAAATAATAGCTACACAGCATGTTACAAAGATGCATAGGGCATATCTAGCAACCTCGAGACATGCTCGGTAACTCTGGAAACTAGTGATGAATCTTAATATATTACATGGCACCAGAGTGCAAAATGGTCTTAGTCAGGAGATGTTGGTTCTGGTCCCAACCCGACCAGGGCTGAAGGCCTATGTAGGGTCACTTCATATATGCCTCAGGTTTTTACTGAGAAATGATTACCTTGTTAAGCCTTAGGTTATTTCTAATTTTAAATTTCTGTGTTCTGTCTTGCCTTGTATGTAATTCCCATGTGGAAGTCAATCTCATAGTGTGTTTAACTTCAGAGTCCCAGAGTTTGACTTCCTTTGAACTTTTCCAACATTGAAGTTCACTGATCTCTTGCAGCATGTCTTTCAAGAGAAGTACTTTTATGGTAATGGTCACTCTGTTTTTACCATGACATCATTTTTTTTTGAGACAGAGTCTCACACAGTCTCTTAGACTGTGGTGCAGTGGCACAGTCATAGTTCACTGTAGCCTTGAACTCCTGGGCTCAAGCTATCCTCCTGCCTCAGTCTCCCATTAGCTAGACCCCCAGGTGCACTCCACCATGCCTGGCTAATTTTTTTATTATTTTGTAGAGAGAGAGATCTCACCATGTTACCTAGGCTGGTCTCAAAGTCCTGGGATTAAATGATCCTCCCATCTCTGCCTCCCAAAATACTGTGATTACAGACATGAGCCACTGTGCCTGGCTGACATCATCTGACATTTTAATCCTTAGGCTAATTTCTCTTTCCCTTTTCCCTCTCTTCTTTATCAGTTTGTTAATGCCATGGCAAGGAGGTAGCAGCAAGACTAAAACACCTGCTCATCTCTAGTAGTTGTGAATTTGCCACGCTCCTACTCAGACAAGCACTGTTCTGGCATCGTAGATTTTACCTGTTTCAAGCCAGTGATAGATGAATTAGAAGTTGTTCCTTAGATTGTCCTTTATTGATAGCCATTGTAGAGGGGCCAGGATTGAAGGGTTGATGTGGGAGTATCAAGGAGTGACAGGCAGTAGGGATACCCTGGGTTCTGTAGTTGTATTTTTAGCTCCCTCTGCTACACAGGTTCCCAGTGTGTGGGCTTCATGGTGGAGGTGCTGTTCTGCACAGATACGCGTGCACTGCTGGCTCCAATAGAATTGAGGGTTTGGAAGCCTCTGGACTCTGAAGGACTGTAGTGACTGCCCATCATTACTAACCTGCTCTTTAACATTGGGTTCTTGAAATTTTTCCCAACCCATTTATTTATTTATTTCTCAGTTCATGCTACATTTATAAAAATAGACAAACTTAATTATCTATTTCTATGCTTTCTATTTAGTGATATGATCTTATAAAGGTTGTTCTTAGTCTGATTTTTGGAGACCATTTTAATCTTATTTTCTTAGCAAAAATACTACCTATAGTTGTGTAAAATAAGGTGTTTTAAATGAGGAAGTTTTCGGGGAAGAAGAACTGGCTTTCTGGATACTCAGAGTGGAGGGTGGCTCTGTGATGGCGGTGCACGTGCTGAGTAGTGTCGGCATCGCACTGCCCACTGTCTCAGTCAACTCAGGCTGCCAGAGCAAAACACCACAGACGTGACTTAAACAGCAGACACTTGTTTCTCACAGTAGTGGTCTGTGGCCTGTTAGGAAGCTGGCCACACAGCAGCAGGTGAGTGGTGGGCAAATTAGTGAGGTTTCATCTATGTACAGGCACTCCCCATCACCTACATCACCTGCCACATCAGTGGCAGCATGAGATTCTCTCTTACAGTAGTGTGGACCCTGCTGTGAACTGGGCAAACGAGGGCTCTAGCTTGCGGCTCCTTATGAGAATCTAATGCCTGGTGATCTGAGGTGGAGCTGAGCGGTGATGCTAGCTCTGGGGAGCACCTGCAAATACAGATTATCATTAGCAGAGAGGTCTGACTGCACAATAAATGTAATGGACTTGAATCACATAGAAACCACTGCCCCCTCCTGCTGCCTCCTCCCCCATCCGTGGAAAAATTGTCTTTCATGAAACTAGTCCCTGGTGCCAAAAAGATTGGGGACTGCTGCACAGGACACTACAGGCTACCTCTGCAGAACGAGTCACAGTGATGTGCTGGGCAGTAGGCAGCACTGTGACATTCTGACCCCCAGGAGGCTTAGGTGCTCAGCTGAGTTTCAGTTGCTCTCATCACTAGGGATTGTGGCAAACATTCTGATTGGCTGGTCAGTCCTGTCTAGTTTTTTATTTTTTTTTAAGAGTTGGGTTTCAAATTTCTATTACATGCTTAGAATTATTGTGGCTTCTGAAGATGGATAGTTTAAACTGGGTGAAAAGGCAAAAAAAATGTGGAATCAAGAAGTGAAAGCACAATTGTTTACAGTTCAGTAAGTAGTTGTGGTTAAGAAATGTGTCTGTTCTTCATTGCCAGATGACTTAAAATTTTATGGGGAGGAATAAATTTTAAACGAAAACTAATTGTGCTATTCATGGGATAAGGGTATGAATTTCTCCAGAATTTGTTTTTTTAGGTATTATAATCTGGCTCTCCTGGTTAGAACTGTATGAATTTAATCCTCAGATTATCTGTGAAATGAATCTAATTGCATCTTACAAGATTTACTCAGAAACTGAAATTTGTATTTACCAAGCATTAATAATACAACCAATGTTTAAAGACTCACTTAACACTCACAGGAACATATCATTGCTACATGTTTGGGAATCACTGGTAAAAGTATGCATAATTGTAACTTCTTAAAAGAAAAGACAACATAATTATACACAAATAAATACAATTCAGCTTTTAGTGCATGTTATTGAAAAAAATTGTGGCATAATACAAACAGTGAATAGATGAAACGTCATTTGGCTTTGATTTTGGAATGTATTGTTTGTTTTTCCCATTGGGGCATCATTTAAATCATAGTTGAACGTGCATTCTCTGGGTACATGCAAAATGCAGTTGAGGTCAAGGTAGGCAGGTCAGAGGCATCTGGACTGGCAGTGAGATCAAGACCTGAAACAGAGTCCCCATATTCTTCACATCAGTTTGTGTTAGGGTTTGTTCAGCTCTCACATGTTTACTGGCACTGATCCAGGTGCAACACAGAGTTTATGGTTTAGTAGACAAAATTATTCATTTTCTGTGTTAAATCAGAGGTGTAAACAAGATGAACAGTGATAACATAAAGGAGAGTGATAAACTGCAGGTGGCAAGGAGAGTTGTGTTCAGAGAGAAGTTCACCAGGGAGACTCTCCCTTAAAGCATGATTTTTATTTTTCACCTCATTGTAGAAATAATTTGAAGTTGCTTGAATGGAGCTATGGAATTGGAGGCTAGAGCAGTAAGAAGTAGCATGTAACAAAGGACTTTCTACACAGTGGCAAGTAGTTTGAAGTTTATGCAATAAGCCATGGAAGGAAGGGTTCAAGTACAGGATGGCTATCATTAAATCTGCATTTACAAAGATCATTCTGATGGGCCTTAGGAACAATAGGTTGGAAGAGTTACTAGAAGGTACTAGACTGGGGAGGTGAGTTAGAACCAGACAACTGTAATAGCTAAGAGGCATCTCAATCTTATATATTAAAAATTGGTGTCTTGATACGAATATCTTCCACCACCTCCACCTCTCAGAAGATAGAAATCTCCACTATCTCAATAAATGTTAATTCTATTTTTATTCTTTCTCAAGCCAAAAAACGTTGCCGTCATTCTTGACTACTGTTCTCTCTTGTGTTCATTCCTCGTCTGTCAATTGGTCCTATTGGCTCTAGCTCCAAAGAAGAGCTAGACTCTACCTGTTCTCTCCTGTCACTCCCCAGGTCCCAGCCACCATCACCTCTCCTAGGCTGCTACAGGTGTCTCCTAACTGTCTCTCTACTTCTTCCCTTGTCTCCTTCAGTCTGATCTCAGCCTTCCCTGTTGGCTTCCCATCACACTCAGAGGAAACACCCAAGTCCACACATGTGATGTAAGACCTGCCTCCTTCCTACTTGGCCATGCTGAGCTGATCCTCTTTTCCTGCTACAGGAAAGACCAACTGCAGGCTCAGGCTGACTGCATTTAGTCCCAGGCAAAACACAAGTGGGCTCTTCTCCAAAAAGGTAGGGTGGACTTGTGGTGAAAGCTAAGACTTCTAATGGGGATATTGGGGCTACTAGAATATAGTCCTTTTTCTTTTGGCATTTGAAGGGCCTGATCAATCATAAGAATTATTACAGTCAAAGCATCTGACTTGAGGCTGAGATGTTCTCCTTCAAATATAATGCCTGACTAGAGTAAGGCATTGAATTCTGTTTATATAATCATGCTAACATAAATTTGCTGATTATTTGCTCTTAGACTACAGCCAGACCACAGAGATTTGGCCTAGGCTATAGGACACACATTGAGCATTAATCTTGACAGTGAAAGTAGAATTGTATGGAATTAAAATTGTGTAGCATGTTGAGGAGGAAAAATGTAGAGTGGGGAATATACCCTTCTTCATTTTACAAAACTATGATCCTTAGCAAAAGTTAATAGAATAGGACATAGAGTTAAAGATATTATTTAAGGCTGGGCGCGGTGGCTCACGCCTGTAAATCCTAGCACTCTGGGAGGCCGAGGCGGGCAGATTGATTGAGGTCAGGAGTTCAAAACCAGCCTGAGCAAGAGCGAGACCCTGTCTCTACTATAAATAGAAAGAAATTAATTGGCCAACTAATATATATAGAAAAAATTAGCTGGGCATGGTGGCATGCCTGTAGTCCCAGCTACTCAGGAGGCTGAGGCAGCAGGATTGCTTAAGCCCAGGAGTTTTAGGTTGCTGTGAGCTAGGCTGATGCCATGGCACTCACTCTAGCCTGGGCAACAAAACGAGACTCTGTCTCAAAAAAAAAAAAAGATATTATTTAAGATTTCACAAGTAACTAACAGAAACATCTCAAATAAAATGATATCGGTACTGAATACATGTGTTATTTTGGGGGGAAAGCCATAGAATACAATTTTAAAATGAGTAAAATGTGAAATGATTATAGCATAGTAGTTTGGAGTGACTGCAACAAGGTGAATCATAACCACAGTTGGTGGTGGCCAGTGTCAGAGAGTTTATTAAGGACAGTGACCTTGTCTGCCTGGGAAGCAGACGGACTTTAAAATCCCCTGATGTCCATCCCTGACCCCTATGCTTGTGTGTGCTCTGTGTGTGTGTGTGTGTGTGTGTGTGTGTGTGTGTGTGTGTGTCTGCACACTCACATGCATGCTGGGTGAGGAGTGAGGGGAAAAAAAGGACAGTGGACACTTGATGGGTTGACCTGAAGGAGACAAAATGTACTAATTTCAGGAAATACTAGGACATACATTTTAGAGCAAGATACTGCGTGGGTTAACCTGTTGGGGTATCTGTGAAGATAAAGAGATGTAGACCAATAATCTAAGAGGAAAATTCTAAATTACTGTGTGGTCAATGTTTGGATAAGTGTAATAAATGGACAAATTAACATTAGTTGCAACAATTAGACTTTGAAAAGATTTTGTCTTAGAAAGACTTAATAGATGCTCCTGAGTATGATTTCAGTATCTTTCCCCCCATACTAACTTACTTCACTTTGTCCTTTCTTGTATAATATTTGTTATCTTCATAATCTGTATTAATTTATTAACATAACCTACCTAAAAGGATTTGAGTTGACATGCACATAAATGGACCCCAGCTACTTATATATTTATTATAAAATAAATCATTTAATCCAGTAGTCAAAAATATATTTTATTCTTATATGATTTGCTCAAGTTTTTTACAAACTCTTGGTCACTTAAATCCAAAGACTTTTTTTTAAGAGCAGTTAGCTGATAAATAAATCATTCATACATTCATTTAGTTAAATGTTAGCCTTTAAGTTAAATATTGTCCATTTGTAACTAAAAACTGTGTTTTATCTGTTAGGCATTTATGGATAGAAATGACTAGATCTCATAGTGTATTTTCTAGATGAATTTTTCTATTCTTGCTTCTCAATCATTTAACATTTTTGCTGTTGTATATTAATATTTGTGGTCTCCATTTGATCTTCGTGGCACTTCCTCTTCAATGTTTAGTACTTGACAAGCTGTCCTTTTCTTTTTCAGTGCAAGTTCTGTGAGATCCTGACCATCATCCAAGCACAGCAACGGGCCTGTCAGAGTGCATTTCTCAACCTGAAGTGCTCTCTGACTTTACATTTTAAAAGGCCTTATGTTTTAGCATTATGAAGTAGTTAGGGAAAATCACGCACAATTTCCTATTTACTGGCATATACCTGAGAGAAATTTTGGTCTTCGGCTTGTAAGGATACTCAGTTTCTGGGATTGGACTTGCCAGTCATCCTATCTGTTCTTAAGAAAGTCATGTTATCATCTAACTTTATTTTATGATTTTCTTACATATAAAAAAGGGAGATTAATATCTTCGTTACCTATTTTTTACATTTTTTTAAATGAAAACAGGCTCAGAAGGTATTCGTTACCTATTTTGTAGGATTATTGTGGATCAAGTAAGCGAATGGACTTAAAAATGCCTTGGAAAGCTGGTGGTGGTGACAGTCACTGCCATCATGGTGTGTGTGCTGGGCCAGGCACTTTGCAGTGCACTTGCTGGGTTAGTGCACTGGGGGGGGGAGGGGGCTGACATTACGTCCATAAAATTGAGGGCCCTCTTATAGCAGAGGGAAATACAAATAAAGCATTTGAGTGTTTCAGAGGGAAAGAATAGTCACTTCTGGCTAGGATTCAGGAAATACCTCTTGGACAAGGTGATATTTTAGCTGTCTTGGCAGCATTTGTGTCAAATGTTGCCCTGGTGACACTGAAGTGGCCTTTTATGTACCAGTCATCTAATTTCAAAATAATCTTCTTTGTAAAATGAGTATCTCTTGTGCTCTGATTAAAAGCTTGCCTCAAGTGCATAATTTGGCATAGATTGCCCGGTGCTTTTTTCTCCCTCAGACAGGGAGGAACTTACAGTGCTTCATTTTCTTCTGAGTAGGGGAGCACTGGAGGCTGTTCTGTAGGAAGGAGTTTAGAGCACTCAGGGGAGAGGATGGTACTGTCCCCAGCCAGGTGGCACTGCCATAAGAGCACTACTCATCACTGCTTCCCATGCTGCTTAGTGAGCAAGTGAACTGTGGTGTACAGTGTTGTGGTGACACTCAACATCCATAAAATGTATTTATTCCATAAGTTATTTGGTGCTACAGATCTTGAGCAAAATTCATAGTTATTGGAATATTGTCAGGATTTATCATAAACATCTTCAAAGAAACTGTAGTCAGTGGCAGTATGATGCATCTCAGGTACACAGGTATTTCTGCTGTAATATTATTTATGTGTTTCAAAATAGCTGCCCTTTCATAAAATCTGTCAGAGTCTATAGGAACTATTAGGTTGGACAGACCACTGAAAATCAATGTCACTCTTTAAGCCAAGCTGCACAAGATAGTAATTTTTTTTTTTTTTTTTTTGAGACAAAGTCTCACTCTGTCACCCAGGCTGGAGTGCCATGGCATGATCATAGCTCATTGCAGCCTCAAATTCCTAGGCTTGAGCTATCCTCCTGGTTCAGCCTGAGTAGCTGGAACTACAGGCACACACTACCACAGCTGGCTACTTTTTTCTATTTTTTTGTAGAGATGAGGTCTTGCTCTTACTCAGGCTGATCTTGAACTCTTGACTTCAAGCAATCCTCCTGCCTCAGCCTCCCAAAGTACTAGAATTATAGGCGTGAGCCACTGCACCCAGCCAGCAATAATTATTATCTGAAGAGAGAACTTGGGCTACTTGGGCAGGCAGCTGAGCATGGCTGGGGACTGCCACAGCAAATACTACGGTACACAGAACCAAGAACATATGCTCAGCTGGTCCACTTGAACTTGAGCAGGGCAGTGGGTGCTTGAGGGCAAGGTGGTCATGGAGCCCTGGACAACAGCTGTTTTCAGCAGGAGAAAAGGGAGATGGCTAGCCTGTCACATGTGGGGGACAAGCCCTGAGTATAGGTACAAGTTTTAGCAATTCTTAAACTATGTGCAAAAATGTTCCTGTAGCCAATGGAGCCCCTAAAAGTAGGTCTTTTGCCTTTGCTTCTAAAGACCCTAATTCTCTACCCATGGCTCTGGATGTCTTGCCCAGGAAAAATTATATGGACTGAAGAGACCTGCACACTATCCTGACTACTTTCCCCCTTCACCAGTTGAAGATGAGCTGCTTTTCAGTAAGAAACACCTGTTGTGGCAGAGTGACTGCGTTCACTTCTGAGTCAGTGCCTTTCTTTAGTTGTTTCCACACCTCCATGTCCTTCCCCAGAGTGAATAGCAGCAGCTTAACATTGTGCTTGTTCATGTCCTTCCCCCATTCACTTCCTTCCTTTCCTTGAGAAATAGCAGCAATGTAGGTGTGTATCTTAAGAAATAGTCGTCTGCAATAGAGTTCTGGGTAGGCGATGTGTCCCAGAGGTCAGGGCCGTTGGCACTTAGACAAAGGAGGGGATGGAAAATGTTGAGTTGAGTGGACAATGAATGCAGAAAAAGTGAGAGGGAGAAAGAAATGGACAGAAAATTAAGCTATATAACTAAAATCTTAGCTGTATTTAAATATTAACTTTTATTATTCACAATGAACCAGTTGGCTAAAGTGGTGGAGAAACTCATTAGCATCTATCATTAGAGAGGCACTATGTTAGATACTTCACTTTTATTGTTCTCATTCAATTAATTAATTTTTTCTAATTAAAAAGCACAGAGAATAATAGAAACACATAAATGTACTCACCTAGAATAAATAACACATGTTAATCTTTTGTCTTTTTTTTACTCCACGTATTTTTATAATAGATACCACATGACAGATAAATTTGAAGCCCTCTTGGTTCCCCTCCTATGTCACTCTCCTCTTTCTCTCGCCTCAGAGACAGCAGTGACTGTCATGACTTTTCTATGTGTCCTTCTACTTTATATGTTTATATTTGTATTTATATGCATATCCATACAAATATTGTATTGGTTTTCATGAGTTTTAAAAGTTACATTATAGATACTTTATATCCCCGCTTTTGCTTTTGCGATCTCTCCATCAGATGCTCATAGATCTGGTTCACGACTATATATTCAGTGCTGTATAGTGTCCTGTTGTGTGAACACACCACAGTGTGTGTACCCATCCTACTGGTTTATTCTGGGTCCAGTTTTCTACTTTTACAAATAACAGTGAGATATATACTGTTGTTTAGGTCTCCTGGTACATGTGACAGTTTCTGGGAACATAAATAGGATTTCCGGGTTGTAAGTTATACACACTCTCAACTTTATTTATCTCATTTAATTCTCACAAATGTTCACTGGGGCAGGTGTCATCATCTCCATTTTATACATACGAAAACTGAGGTGTTGAAATGGCACATAAGTTGGCCAACTTAATAAGAAAGCCAGCGCTGAGAACAGATCAAATCCTACCCATTTAAATCTGTAGCTCTAATCCCCAGCAGGCGATATAAATCCTCAGCATGTGATCTTTATGGTCATTGGAACAGTTGTAGCAAGCCAGTAGCATGGGTGCTTCCAAAGCAGAGAGTAAGCAAGCAATGAGTAGGAGGAGGCATGTGAGAAAGAAGCAGCCGTGTTCCCCTTGCTGTGATTACCAAAAGGGTTCAAGAATTAAAACATCCTCTTGAAATGATGGATCTGAGGTTTCTATATGTGTAAGACTGTTTCTTTATTGTAGAAGACTATTTGTTGTTGCTTAAAATGCATATATTAAATGCAGCTTGCAGGCATATTTTGATTAAAGAAAGATGTTACAGTGAGTGTGGAACAGGTCTGTATTTTACTTTGCAAAGTGCGTGGACCATTTTCTCCAGGTGAAAAGTGTTAATCTGAATGTGGATCTTTTTTTCATAACCCTTTAATTCACGCTTGAACCATATGTATTTTGGACTTCATTTTTGCTTTGTTCTTTTCTTCAACTTCCAGGTAGGAAATCTGGTGTATTAACTGTGAGAATTCTAGAGCTACATGAGGAATGCGCCATGCATGTTGCCCTGTGTGAGCAGTTGGCGGGGCCGTCAGCCGCTGGCCCTTCCGGAAGTGTGGGCCCCAGGCCTGGAGCCCACTTGAAAGTTCTCTTTACCAAGGAGACTGCAGGCTACCTCAGGGGGCGTCCCCAGAACATTGTCCACATCTTTCCTCCCTGGTGAGTACAAAGAGCTGGTTCCAGCAGTCACCAGCTGTGAGTCTGTCTTGTAAGAAAGACTTTTATCAAGAACATTTTTGTCACTTTATTATAGAGAAATACCAGGAGAAGAAAGCCAGGATTTGACATAGGTTTTATGTAACAGAAGCACTGAATTGTCTCTAATGGTTTGTTTGTACTTCTGTCAGCAGATTTTTGATAATTTGAGGTGAGAGGGTTGAAGAAACAACCATAATAAGATTCTTGCCCAAGTGGTGTGTTATAAGATCTGGCTGTTTTTATTTTTATCCTTCTTATAAAAATAATTTTCATAAGAGGCATCATGTGACAATAAGATAACCCATGTTAATTTAATATTTCTTTGCTAGTCACTTGAGGGGGAGGATAAAAGCATGAACTGAGACATAATAAGATTTGAACTTAAGGAGCATTAAATGGTCATTACTGGGTCAGAAACTATTTTCAAGGATACCATGGCTGCTTTCTTTTGTATGAGATACTGATTTGTGCCATGAAAAGAAGAAAATCTGATTAGGGAAAATTTGAGCAGCCTTGTTTTAAGAGCATTAAGTTTTGTGGCAATTTTTTTTCCATTTCAGCATATTATGGAGGTATAAATGTTTAGATTACATATATTGCCTTTGCCCCACCCAAGTCAGAGCTTCAAGCGAGTCCATCCCCCAGATGCTGTGCACCGCACCCATTAGGTGTGATGTGGCAATTTTTTTAAGTTTCATTTATCTGTGATATTCTTAGATTCTTAGATTTGGAATCAGCTAACAAATCTTTAAGTTAAACTTCCAGAGAAGAAATGTTTTGATCACGTCCATAACAAGCACCTGGTGCTTCTCGGTGTCCACAGCAACCTCCATGTGACTGCTCCAGTGTCAGCCGTGTGGGAGTCCTGAGCTTCCCGCGCATGCCCCCCTGGTAGGGTCTGACCTTCCTCTGTCAACATCGTCTTCCTACTCTTCCCCATCTCTGGAGATAGAAGTCACATTCTTGTTCTCCCAGGTAGCCTTGCCTCCTCTTTCTTTCCTATTCTCTGTTCTGCCCACGGGAGCCTCCTAGTGGTTCCACTTCAGAATCCACAGTCTAGTGCTTCTTGCTACCTTCACTGTCATAATCCTTTCCAGGTTATCTTGTCTCTTCTGGAGTATTGCAGTCATCTCTTAACTGTCCCTGTTTCTGTCCTGGCTCCGCTCTGTCTCTTGTCATACACAGGTCAAATCCTACCACCCTTCGGGTCTGCACTCTCCAAAGCAGCACACCTCATGCAGAGTCAAAGCCAGGGCCAAATGTGACCCCTCCTGAGCCCTGGGATCTCATCTCCTGCTGCTCTAACACCCAGCACCCTCTCTCAGGCCTGGGTTCTTGCTGCTCCCTGTGCTGTGGTGCTTTGTCCCACCCATGGCCTGGGAATTTACTCCCACGTTACCTTCCAAATGAGGCCTTCCCTGGGTCCCATATCTAATAATTGAAAGTACCTCCTTCCACACTCTTCATTTTCCGTATTTGATTTTTCTCTTTAAGTTGTCACAATCAGATATGTTGAAGTAAATTATAATACTTTTGTTTATTTGCATATCGTGTGTTTCTCCACTGCAAGGCTTTTAACCATTTTTTTCACTGCATAGGCCTGAGGGCACTCAGCAGAACTTTAATGTGGAATGAGTGAGTGATCTTCTCCATGTCTAACAGTGCCCCATCCCCTATTTTGTCACTATAATTTCTTGTGTTCTTTCAGTTGTTTTATTTGAAGTCCTTTTTGTAAACTTAAGGTAAAAACCAGTAATATTAAGAATATCCGATTCTTGCAGTGTGTCCTAGTTTTATCTTCTTTATAAATAAAAAACTGCAGTTTATATTTTAGTTTATTGTAGCTCAACCAAATGTTTACTCAGGCTATGTTGAGTTTTTTACAGTGAGCCACAGAAAACTTGAAGATAGTTGTGTTTCCACTAACTTTAGAGATGTCTGTAGGCTTTTGGGTTATATCATTGCATTAAGTAAGCAGGGAAAATTAAACTCTAGACATATAGTCCCTAAATCATCATAGTCCCTCTACATCTCCACACCTTTAGTATGTTTTTTATTTCCTTTCCCATTTCATCTTAAAAGTAATTAGTTGGGTTTTTAGTAGGTATTTAACACATATGATACAGAATTCAGAGGTACCAAAGGTACCAAAGACTCAGTGAGTACTGAGTCTTCCTCCCATCCTTGTTTCCAGCAACTTCATTACCATCCCCAGTAGCAGTCACTGATACCAGTTTCTCCCACATCCTTCCAGAAATGGGGTGTGTGTGTAACATACACACATGTAATCATATGAATGTATTTTCTGCCATTATTTTTTTTACAAAAATGGTAGCAAACAATACTCTTTTATATAATCCCTTTTCAACTTAAATTTATCTTGAAGATTGTTCAGTAACAACATATCAGCACATAAAGAGTTGCTATATTCTTTTCACTGATTCCAATGTAGAGGTCCTATCACTGAGACAGTCCGTGCCCTTCAGATGGACATCCGAGCTGTCCCCTCTTTAGTTACTTCAGACAATACTGTAGTGGGTATCTTTGTACACACATCCTTTTGCACGTGTGTGAGGAAGGGCTGTCAGATACATTTCTATAAGTATTATTGCTGGATCAGAGGATATGTGCCTCTTTAATTTTAGCAGACTTTGTCAAATGGCACCATTTTATATTCCCACCAGCAGGGCACGAAGTGCCTATTTCTCTTCCCTTACCATCCTACTGTATTGATCTTGACCAAGTTAAAAACTGGGAAAGTGATATTTATCATTTTAATTTGTATTTCTTTTATATAAAATGAATTTATACATTTTCCTCTATGTTTAAGAACTATTTGTATTTTATTTTCTGTGAAATGTTCATTTATAACTTTGACTTTCTCTTAGACTGTTGGTCTTTATCTTAGTGATTTCTATTAACTCTTTATAAATAGGTCAACGATTCGAAAAATTTTATTTTGTTTACAAATGAAAACATATTACATATGCCTTGTAAAAGATAAAAAAGAGCTCCTGTCAGTCATGTGTTAACAATTGGTTCTTTCCCATTGTGTCTTTGGTGATGGACTTTTTTAGGGGTCAGAGGTTGGTTTTGTTGATTTCTTTTGATAAGCAGAGATTTTCTTTTTTTCTGTGGTTTGTTTTCTCCATCTTTTATAGCTTCTGAGTTTTTTGTCATGGATAGAAAGGACTTCCTTACTATGATATATAAAAATTATTCTATGTTTTATTTGAATACTTTTATGGATAATTATTTTTTAATTTTATATTTAAATCTTTGACCTTCCTGAAATTTATCTTTATGTAATATGTGAGGTAGGGCATATAACTTTATTTTTTCCAAATGGCTATTCAGGAGTTCCAGCATTATTTATTGAACATTCCATTTTTTTTCCATACAACTTCAATGCCATCTTTATCATATACTAAATTCCTACACATATTTTGTACTATTTCTACTTCTTTTAACATGAATGTATTTGCATATGTTAGTGTCGCACTATTTGCATTACAGCTTTGTATGGTATGCTACTAACTGCTAGGGCTACTCATCTCTCATTATGCTTCCTTTTTAGAACTTTTCTTATAATTGTATTTTTCCTTTTTGCTTTAAAAATATTTCATGTTTTATTTTCAAATGAAAACATATATGCATGGTAAAAGATAAAAATAATTCAGAAATATATAATGTAGAAAGGAATCATTTTCTTCCTACCTCTTGAATAAATCACACTTCCCCTAGATAACCACTATTAACGATTTAAAATAATCTTCGAACATCATACTTTTTAAAAATTAATTCTTAAATACTCAATTATGTATTTAACACATTGTAAGAATATATGTAATGCATATGTAAGTTATGTAATCCTGCTTATTTTTCTATAAGAACTTTAACTTATTTAATTAAAAATTTTTTGTTACATTTATTGGTATAGATTAAATCTATGCATTCATGGGGTAGGACTTAAAGGTGATTTCTAGCAGGAAGGTGACGTGACACCGCCTCCCACGTTCATGGGGTGCACGGCAGCACACCACAGTGGAGCGCTCTCATCTCTTACCTTGAATCTGTCTTCTCTCCTTCAGAAATCTGTCCTTATTCAGATCTTCTGTTCACACCTTAGTTTTACTCCCTTGTGAAATTTAGGTCTTCTTTCATTAGAATTTAAGTTTATTTATGGTGGCAGAACCTTTTTTTTTAACCTTCTCAACTTCTAATTTTTTGTACACCATTACATATTTTAAAATGCATTTATTAAGTGATCCAGTTTTTTAATGAAAAATTTTAGTATCTTAATATGATTATTTTTCCTTAGGGAAGATGTTTTAGAGGCGTTGAATGTGGACACTTTCTTGGGCTTGTGAGAAAAAATTAGATCGAGATCATGTGCAAGCATTTATATAATGAAAAATTTCCAACTCCCACCTTAGAATTTACAAGTGGGTGAGTTATTATCATTTGACTTTGGAATGTTTCTAAGTCTGCGTCTTACCAAGGCACTTCCCTTGGGTGTTGCTTCTTTTACTGTTTTAGGCAGCACATTGGACTCCCTGTGTGGTGCTATACACAGAGATTGTTCAGTGACTATTTCTAAACTTGATTTGGATATTTTCTTTTTCCTCCTAAGGTTTTTTGTTGTTTTGAGACAAAGTCTCACTATGTTGCACTGGCTAGAGTGCAGTGGCATCATCACAGCTCACTGTAACCTCAAACTCCTTGGCTGGACCAATCCTCCTGCCTTGACTATGTTGCACTGGCTAGAGTGCAGTGGCATCATCACAGCTCACTGTAACCTCAAACTCCTTGGCTGGACCAATCCTCCTGCCTCGACTCCCGAGTAGCTGGGAATACCAGCACACACCATGATGCCCTGGTAATTTTTCTATTTTTAGTAGAGACAGGGTCTCACTATTGCTCAGGCTGTTTTGGTTTTTAGATTTTGAGTATTTTTGCTC